CGCTGACATGAAATGTTTCCCCCAGAAATGATTGTTGTACATCTGGTTCTTTCGTTTATGTACTTGTGTACGTTCTGTCGCTGAGAACCATTCAATATTTTACATTTAATCATGGCATATGAAATGTTTGCACATTAGACTGCGCATGAATAAAACATCAGCCCAATAATCACCCCTCATATGTTTTCAGAAACTATGTCCCGCGTCAGCTGAAAAAATAATAATAATAAAAAGGAACGCTAGCTTTTCATTTTTCTTTTGTCTTGACTGGAAGAATGTGTTGTAAATGGTCACTGTGGTTTTATTTTATTTTAAGAAGATAAAAAGAAATTCAGGAGGGCCGTGATTCCAATTATGGTTTTTCTAAAGAAGGGCCATTAAAGCAATAGAGCTGATTAGGATTTCACCAAAGAAACACATGCCAGCTTTTCAATATTGGAAAGAACTCATCTGCTAAGTGTGTACATTTGCAGAAAAATCAATGGGATGCAATTCCTGCCAAAATTTCGCACCAGATTCCTCTCTCTGGACTGGAATCCACTTTGGAAAATTAATAGATTTGTGGGGGAGAAAGAACCCAGCAATTTACATATCATTCTTGACTTTTGCCTCTCTGTTTATCACAATGATTTCCCCTTCAATCACACGCTGACACCAAACCATCTACAATTACTCCTCGACTTGCAGCAGTTTGTTTAGTGACTGAAGTTAGAACAGTGCTGGAAAAAGGGACTTTTATGACCGTTTTTCACACTTATGACATTTGCAAGGTCCCTATCATCATGTGATCAAAATTCGGACACTTGGCAACTGGCATGTACTTATGACGGTTGCAGTGGCCCAGGGATCACACAATCCCCTTTTGAGAGCTTCCGACAAGCGAAGCCAAGGGGGAAAGCCAAGATTTGTTTAACAACTGTGGGATTTACTTAAAAACTGCAGTGACTCCCTTAACAACCGTGTCAAGGAGGTGTTGTGGCTTGCCGGTGGCTAGCGGAGCTGGCTGCAGAGTGGGACAGTGAGGAGGTTGGGGAGGAAACTGGGCCAGTCCTGGAGGCTGAGGAAGGCTCGGACGAGGGCTCTGCATCAGAGGCAGAGATGGGACCAGGGCAGGCTGGCAGTCATGAGCTGCCTTCAGAATCGGAGATCAGTGGGGAAGAAGAACAGCTGGAGCCTGTTCTCAGTGTGTGCATGCGCAGAGCTGCCAGGAGAAGGGAACAGTTAAGGAACAAGGGTCAACTCAGGAGTAAAGGCTCAGATGGACAGTGAATGGCCCCTCTCATAGGGATTAAAAGAGGAGCAAAAAGGGAGGGGGCTTTTGCAGGAAACAATTCGTTCATTCGTTCGTCGCAGGAGTGGGAAGATCTGTCTGTGCATCTCAGAAACTCTGTGCTGAGTCCTTCCTTGTCAGCACTGTGTTTGAAAATATACTTGGCAGTTCTCCAGGTGAGGTAAGGTCTGTGCTCCTCATTACACCCTTGAAAGACTGTTTGCCAGGCCTTTGGTTGAAGGTGAATGCAAGAAATTCACCTTCATTTAATAAAAGGGGTTTTGACGGGACAAAAAATTCTGCTTAGTGCTTTCGGGGGAAGCCCAGGTCAGAACAGGAAGGTCTTAAAATGGGTCAAAACTCACTTCACCCTGGCCTCACTTAGCAACATAAATTTGGGGCTCAACGGTGGTCATAAGTTCAAGGAGTATTTACACTTCAGTAACACAGAGCTACCTCTGTCTACCAGAAGAGTCGATGTGCAGCGACGGGAGAGACTGTGAGTAGGAAGAGCTACTGATACAAAAAGGAGGATGAGCATCAGTATTACAAGCCATCCTTCACTTATGACCATTTTAGTGACCTCTCAAAGTTACAACGTCACTGGAAATAAATGTGACTTATGACTGGTTCTTAAACTTATGATGAAGAGAATTAACTGCAGAAGATACATCACACACCGAGCAGTTAAAGTTGAACTTTCTCTTAAAAGAACACTACGTGAGAATATAGTTTAAGTCCTTGGTGTTCTCTGAGCTTGGTTGCTTTCTTGCAGACATACTGATGATGTTACCTAGTTGGGTCATGAAACGCCTGCAAGAAAACAACCCGGTTCAGAGAGCACCAGAGACCCCACAATTGAACTCCAAAGCTAAATATATTCTCTTCTACTGGAATATTGTTTATAGCCTTGGTTCTCTTCCTTCTGATGATGAGTTTTATTCTTTGGAGACTCGTTTAGTGACGTCTCTTTCTTACTGCTACAAACATGTTCCTCACATTTTTACCTTACATGTTAGATAGGTTTTGATCTTTCTCAAGGCTACTTAATCTGGTAGTGGCCCTACCAGGTCCCTCTGCTAGCTCTCTAAAACAGAACATTAGAAGGTTGTCCATCGTTTTCTCTTGAGTGGACAGTAGGAATTTTTATTATTGTTTTTATTGCAGTTTTCAAAAATACAAATCTTATTTATATTCGTAGCAACATTTTAGCATTGACAAATACATATAACTTAGAATTAGAATTAGAATTCTTTGTATTGGCCAAGTGTGACTGAACACTTGTCTTGGTGCAAATACCTTTATTATATACACATCTATGTTAATAATCTCTTAAGGTCTCTTGTTCTATTTGCAATCATCCATTCTTCCTAATCTTTATATCTATTTTTTAACCACTCATACCATTTATCCCATATTGCGTAATAACCGGAATCCTCTTTATCTTTCATTTCTAACATAAGGTTATCCATTTCAGTGCATTCCAGTATTTTTTGTATGACTAGATCCTCTGAAGGGACATTAGCTCCTTTCTACAATTGTGTAAAAGCTATTCTGGATGCTGTCAAAATATGGTGTATAATGTACTTAATCTTTTTAGGGTATTGGCCTGGGATTATTCCTAATAGAACAAATTCCGGTTTGTGTTCCGTTTGGTGTTTGGTGATCTCTTGAATTTTTTTAACCCAATATTTTAACCTCATATTTCCTGGTCTCGGGGCATAACCACCACATATGATAAAAGGTACCATCTTTATGTCTTTACTGTGCTGAGAATAAATATGGTGTTTTGATAGCAACCATTCTATCTAAACTCGTGCAGTTGGATAGCTACCGTACATATCATGTACCTAAAGGCAGGACAAGAAGCAACAGATAGAAACGAATGAAGGAGAGAAGCAACATGGAATGAAAGACAAACTTCCTAACCGCGAGGACGATTAACCAGTGGAACTGCTTGCCACCAGAAGTTGTGGCTGCTCCGTCACTGGGATTTTTAAAGAAGAGATTGGACAACGATTTGTCACGAAAGATATAGGGTTTCCTGCTCGAGCAGGGGGTTAGACTAGAAGACCTCCAAGGTCCCTTCTAACTCTGTTATGTAGGCAGTATGTAAGAATCTATAGCAGTTCATCTACCTGAATTTTCTACCCTTTAGGTTCAGAAGATGTCTCAAATTTTCAAATTTTGCCCAAATTACTTCTTTTTTCGCCTCATATATAGTCAAATACAGGGAGTGGTATGGTGCACTAGAGGTGGAGCTCCTGCCTCACAATCAGGAGGCTGTGAGTTTGATCCCAGGTAGAGGCAGGTATCTCTTTCTCTGGGCACTCTGAGAATTTACAGTATCTGCTGAACAAAACTCTGCCTTGGTGACAGGAAGGGCATCCGGCCAGTAAAACACTCTACTAGCTCCAATCAGTTGCCCAGACTCCACCCCACAAGGGATTATGGAGTCATTAAAAAAATAGACAGATAGATAGATAGATAGATAGATAGATAGATAGATAGATAGATAGATAGATAGATAGATAGATAGATGATAGATAGGATAGGATAGATGAATATATCTGCTGAACAAAACTCCACATTGGTGACAGGGAAGGCATCCGGCCAGTAAACACTCAGCTTCATTCAGTTGCCCAGACTCCACCCCGCAAGGGATTATGGGATCATTAAAAGAGGATGACATAATTAAATATAGCCTCTGGAGTTAGATCCAATACTTTCATGCATTTTTCTTCATTTCTTTTTCCTTAACTGTACAAGATCATTTTTTTTTAAAGGTGACTTCCAAATTTATATATTTGTCCGAGCCATAAATTTGTGCAGCCACTCTGGCAGTTTGATTTTTTTTTTAAAAAAAAAATTATTCTTATCATCTTCATGACCTGCGATATATCATTTCTCCTTTGAAAGTAGATTTATGGGGTCATCAAGTTCCCTGTAACACCTGAAGATCTTGTTTCTTGTCCCTGACTGATAGCTGAGCAGCTATTAGTGTTTCTATCAGGGCAGAAATTCCTGTCCCAATTTTTAATCTCTTTGCCTCTCTATGTAAACATAAATGCTCTAATTCATATCAGCAGATAGTGGTAATACAGGTAATGCTCGGACTTATAATATTCATTTAGTGACCGTTTGAAAATACAATGGCACCGAAAAAGGGACATGACTGGGTTTGACCGTTGCAGCATCCCCCGTGGCCACATAGTCAAAACTCACAAGCTTGGCAATTGACTCGTATTTATGACGTCCTGGCGTCGCCTGATCCCCTTTTGCGACCTTCCGAGAAGCCGAGTCAACAGGGAAGCCAGGTTTCACTTAACAACGGTGTCACTAAGTGAGATTCACTTAACCACTGTGATAAGGAAGATGGTAAAATGAGGCGAAACTCACTTGACAGCTTAGCCACCAAAAAATATTGGGGCTCTATTGTGGTTTTAAGTCAAGGACAACCTCTACGCTCCCACCACTTCTCTCCATTCTTCTGTTGTGTTCAGCCCAACTAACAAACAGTAGTAACTGCTCACCTTGGAATTGGGAAGGCCTGCTCCTTGTTCTTCACAGCCATGCCCACGAGACATGAAACCATAGACAATGAGTAGACCGCAACTACTTACCCACGTGACTACAAGCCTATCACCATTCAAACTACTAACACAACAACCGCTACCACCACCACCACAACAAAAAAAAAAACCTTACAGGGCTAACTGGGTTTACTTACATTGAGTGAGGATGCCCATCAAAGCATTCTTAAAGTTGTCCTTGGCTTGGTCCATCTCTTGTTCGTGGGTGGCTTTTTCGTTCATGAGCCGGCGGACGTGGCTGTTGGCTGATTGCACCATTGAGTAGAACTGGTTAGACGTTCGCCGGTTCACCTCCCCTCGTTCGATCCAGGTAAGTAACACCACTATGGCCTCGGAGAACTTGCTGTCATCTGGAACGAACCCATTCAAGAAAAGCCAACATTACCATCACACGTTCGTTGGGCGACAAATAGATTTCAGCGCTTACCAATTGTCCCATGAAGACTATTTATGACGTTATCTTAGACTAGGTTTCAAGCCCCAAATGGACATATATGGAGCCATTTTATTTAGCCTTATTATATATTCCTTTTCTTTCTTTCCCTTTGCTGGTTATTGGCGGGGGGGGGAGGGTTTCGGGCTTGCCACATTCCTAAGGGGAGAGGAGTGGAGATAGAGAGAGTTGTTTAGGCTAGGTGGTTCTTCTTCCCGTGGGAATAAAAGCTGACCCTGCTGAGACCTGGAGGTGGAGATCGATGACATCAGGCAACGTTGATTTACTTCGATTGGAGAATGTGACTTTTATAGGTTGTTTCTAACTTCCAATGTTATGTGGTGTAATTCTGAGTTGTATCAGATCCAGAATTACAACAGGCTTTGCCAATTTGATGCTTTCCTAAATAAAAGAAATCATTTTGGAAGACGGACTTTGTCCTTTTCTTTTTAAATGGATTTCATCACTTGGAAAACTTGACATCGGGCTTCGGGCATCTCATATAACCCTTTATAAATTGCTCTCTAAAGCAATGATTATCAGGAGTGCTGTAAATGTTGTGACTTGGATTTTCATTCATCCCGTATGCTGTCTTCGCGATGTGAAGTAGGTTCACCGTGGGAATAATTAAGCGCAAAGTATCTTTTAAGATTCCACCCAACGAGGGTGAAAGGACAACGAAGCGTCTGCAGATCCACATGTAAATCTTTCCAACAGGATCCTTGAACGTACAACTGTTTTACAACACTCCCACCCCGCCCTGCAAAGACGAGTGATTCCAGATGAGAGGTTTCCGTCATTTGTCATGCCGCGGTGAAATCTGTGTGAAGCAGAAGGCAGGTTGTGTTGGCGTATGAAACTTCCTGACTTCCACAGAAAAAGAAAGAGGAGATGTGGGAATAGAATTGTTGTCTCTCCTTTAAATGGTTTATCCTCAAACGTAAGCCAAAGTTACATCTCTGAATCAATCGGTAGGGTTGATTCAGAAATGTAACTCTGGCTTATGTTTGAGGATAGACCATTAAAGAGAGGTGGACCTGACTCAACTAAAGAAGCTTCTTAGATGAGGAGTGAACTGTCTTCAAGGGAAAAGCACTCAAAGGTGCGTCATCCTTACCAGGGGTTTAGGCAACAGACTACAGATCAACATCTGTCTCATCTTTGTAAGGTTCTTACTCCCTTTTGACTTCAGTTCTTCAGATATCTCAGTCTTTCTAGTGGCTGAGCTTAGAGAATATTTCTAGATCTGGGTTGAAATGAGAGGTCCTGGTGCTCTCTGAGCTTGGTGGTTTTCTTGCGGACGTTTCGTTACCCAAACTAGGCAACATCGTAGGTGCTAAAGGGAGTGTTGTTTGTGGAGAGGAGGAGAGGAGGAGGAGGAAGAGGAGGAGGAAAGAGAAGGAGGAGGAGAACTGTGGGGCCTTGTTTTCTTGCAGATATTTCATTACCCAACTAAGTAACTGTCACTGCTCGTCATCAGTGCTAGAAGGGAGAAGGTATTGTGGAGAGGAGGAGGAAGAGGAGGAGGAGGAGCAGGAAGACGATGACTGTGGGGTCCTTGATACTCTCTGAGCTTGGTGGTTTTCCTGCAGAGGTTTCATTACCCAACTAGGGAACATCATCAGTGCTAAAAGGGAATGGGGTATGCAGTGAGGAGGAGGAGGAGGAGGAGGAGGAGGAGGAGGAGGAGGAGGAGGA